TGTGTGTGTGTGTGTGTGTGTGTGTGTGTGTCTGCGTGCATTCTAAGCGGGTGGTAACAACCAGTCTCCTCCTACACGCCCTTCAGCATGTTTGTCTCTTAGCAACAATCCAGAACATGTCACACATGGCAGATTGTCTAATAAAGTCCATTCACATTCTCACGCACACACGCACACGCACACACACACACACGCACAGAAATGAGTGATGAACAATGTCACTGGTCATACACATGGGGTAGTTTAACCTTTACTGCAGTGTGTGTGTGTTTGCACAGGAGTGACATTTGAAGGATCATGTCTGTAACTTCCAGTGGCAGATTGTAGTATCCAGGTCAGAGCTACATCAGTGCAGCTAAAAGTCTTTTTTCTTCTCAATGACGTAAAGAATAAAAGCATGAAATCCGCTCCAGTCATTCACAGTTTGCGTCTCCGGAGGAGCTGATGTGACAGTTCACGAGGAGCGACACAAACAGTCAACGTGTACTGTAAACTGCTGAAAACATTCAGACGATGATTCATCATCGCAGCCTCTCAAACCTACACACGCCTCCTCACTGTGGCTGTTGGTTTAAAAACTGTTCCAGAATAACACGATAAAAAATGGAGCAGGACTCAGGTGAAGAATTACCCAGGGGTGACAGTCAGGTTCCCCAGCAGGTGGAGAGGGGCCATAAATCATCGCTGCCTCTCCAGTCTGTTGGGGATCTGGTAGTTTTATGTAAAAAGACAGACTTTGTTAAGAAAAACATGACAATTATAAATAAAATGTGTATTTCCAGTAACTATAGTTACAAACTACAGCTATTTGTTAAGACCTTTCTGCATTGTTACTAAATAGATTCACCATTTACGTTAAGTGTGGCAAAGACCCCTCCCACCCTGGGTTTCCTGACACAGATCAGACGACAGCTGCTCACCGGTCACACATGTACTAACACCGCACGGAGTCTTGGAACACGTAACGTTACTTTACGCTGAGTATTAATACCTTTAGGGAGAAAACATGTTTTTTGATCATCTTTAAACGTGGAATTAAACTTGTTTCCTGCAGTTTGTGCTGTGATGTGCAGCTCTGCTCATATTTTCCGTCCTCTCCACCACAAGCACAATGCATGATGGTACACCATGCTCTGTTAGTGACCATCGGCTGTACACTACTTTTCACGATGCATTGTGGGAAACATGAGCGCACTAAATAGGCAATAAGTACTACTTTGGTCCTGGACACAACTGGAACAGTACTTACTTACTAACCTTTTCCATCGTGATGTGTTTTAATAATATACATCGCAGAAAAAATTCCTCTTCCAAATCCGGTCATTCCGACCCAATCATTTACACGTGCGGTTTTTTGATACTGAATAATGTTCAGCGGTCCTGATCTGTAACCAGCGCAGTATCCATTCCACAGGCTCAAACCCAAACCTCAGCAGAACTGTACGTCACTGTCTTTCATGCATTCCTCCAGTCTGCAGTCTGAAACTCAACCCCACTGACAACACAGCATCTTCCTGAGAGCACATGCACTGCTCAGTGTCGTTTGTTTGCGTGTCACACGTTAGTTATGCTTCGATCGCACACAACTGAATGAATGCATCAGGAAGTGGAGTTTCAGATGGTAACTGCAGGTCGTTCGCATATTTGTGTGTTGCTTTGTGTGTCTGTGAGGGTGCTCCTCACACACATCAGGCCTCTTAACATGCCTGAATTTTTCATCTTGGCCAATGTCCCATATTTCCAACAGGTTTTGTGGAAATCTGTGCAGTTTTTTCTGCGTTATAGGTGAAGTGGAGGTATTTACAGTGACTATACTGTTTGTACTGTGTGTTTGTTTACTTGCTCTGCCACTTTTGGGAGAAGGTTAGAATTAGGTTTAGTTGCGAGAATTAAAGACCATGGGGGGGGGGGGTTGTGTGTTTGTGTGAAATATGGTCCGATAGATCGAGCTGCATAATGATGGTGTCTGATATCAGATGCCTGTGGTGTATTTTACTGAGCTGTCACTTTAGGCCCCAATTATGCCCCATCTTGTTACTCTCCAATTTGTATATACATGTCATTTATACACACGCACACACACACACACACACACACACACACACACGATACCAGGTGACCTTGAGAAGCCAGGATCGCTGGCAAGTGTACGTGTAGGCGTGTAAATGTATCCCTCGCTTTTCAAGCTGAATCAGTAATAAGCATTTCATTACTTCTGCCTCAGTTCCCTAGGGAGGGAACACACACACACAAACACACACACACACACACACACACACACACACACACACACACACACACACACAGCATGGTAAAAGGTAGATGTTGATGATACTATCTGCAATTCCAAATTATAAAACAATAGCAAAATGTAGAAAGAAAGAAATGAACAGTGTGGCTCCTCGACACCTGATAAAGGCTGACCCTCCTTTATCACCAAGAGCTGTTGAATCTCGTTCTCTCTTCCAAGTTGACGTCTACGTGTATTGCACCAGTTTTTTTATATATAAAGAGATATTTATAAATGTTTTCGTATTTTTCAGTTTTGGATCCGTCTCATGTTAGAAAAGCCATCAACGCACCCACTTGTGCCTGAAAACCAATATCCCGTTCTATTCTCACATGACTCGGGCAGGAACATCTGTGGAGATGCATCTGATTCTCTGATTATGTGTTCACCCAGGCGGCCCATCCAGATGACTTCAGGAGAATATCCAGAGTTCAGTACATTTCAGACAGCAGCTTAATTGACCAAAAATGAAATGCAGTAACAATCAGCTAATCTAAAAGCTAGAGCTCGTTTCCAAACGATGCTATAGTAACACTTAGTGGTTTGACTTGAGCTGAAGCATCTTCCCAAGGTCGCACAGACGAGGTTAAGCACGGCCTCCAGTGGAATCATAAAACGTTTGGAGGAAGCCGGGGTGCATAATGCAGCGAGGGAGTGACTGTGATTGGAGGTGGATGAAAGGATGAACGTGGCGAGAGTGATTGGTTGAAGGTTGCACATCAGCGCAGGCCAATAGGGGACGTGGTCTGTGAAGTGTGTGGCATGTGAATGCTCATTTGAATACATGAGGAATGAAGCT